ATATAAGCTGCAGTGCTGAAGGCGTCAACCCAAAAATGAGGAGAAAGATGAGAGTGAAAGATAAGGGTCAAGCCAGTCTCAGTCACATGACGATGTTTTCTCTTAGCACGACTATTTTGAGCAGGTGTATACGGACAAGAGAGTTGATGGTGGATGCCAGAATTATGTAAATGAGTTTTGAAACAAGTGCTAGTAAATTCGGTACCTCTATCGCTTTGAAATACCTTGATACGAGAAGAATATTGATTTTCTACAAATTTTTGAAATTGAAGAAAAATATCAAAGGAATCAGATTTAAATTATAAAGGGTAAAGCCAAGTGAATCGAGAATAATCATCAATAAAAATAACATTATAAAGAAAACCCGAATTTGATTTGATGGGAGAAGGACCCCAAAGGTCACAATGAATAAGATCTAACACATGAGACGACCTACGTTCATTGCGGGAATAAGGCAATCGATGACTTTTCGCAAGCTAACAAGTATTACATAATAATGGAGAAGACAATAAAGACGTAAGAGAAAGATGACCTTTTCTATTTAAAAAAGAAATAACCGAATGATTCACATGACCTAGACGAGCATGCCATAAATCATATGAAGCACGTAAAGATTTGTTTCTAAGGATTGAAATAAAAGCAGAGTTGTCGCGCTCCAGCACATATAGCCCCCCATCTCTTTTACGGGTTGCCACCACCCTTCCTGTTTGACAATTCTGGATAGTAATAAGATTATTAGTGAATGTAACGGAGAGAGAAAAATCAGACCTTAATTTACTTATGGAAAGAAGATTTTTAGTGAGGTGAGGGACAACCAAGGCATCGAATAAGTGAATATTTGGAATAGGAGAAAGAGTACCAGTGTGGGTAATAGGTAGAGATGCATCGTTTCCTACGATCACAGAGTCCTTACCCGTGTAATTTTTAGATTGATCCAAAATAGATGGGCCGGCAGTCATATGGGCCGAAGCCCCAGTGTTCAGAAACCAATCAGTAGCATCGGGTCCAGCAATAGAGCATGACGTGTTAAAGACTTCAACAAGGTGAACATGAGAAGAATCAAGTCGAACATACCGTTGGTTGCAGCAGTCAGCATAATGGCCCTCTTTGCAGCATATTTAGTAGTGAGATGGTCGACGACCCTGACCTGAGTGGGTTCGTTCTAGATTGGAAGAGTTGTTTTTGTGAGAATAAGAACGACCTCGCTGGTTGCTAAATGAAGTAGGGTGGCTTCCATGGGTGCGACCACGATTAGTGGCTGTGAATGCTATAGGAGTGGAGTTAGAGGACTCAAGGGAACGCTGGAACAACTCAAAACTTTCAGCTTTAGAAACTAAATTTGCAAAAGAGGGGATATGGGTGAGAGCCATCTGAGCAGTAGAAAAAGCTGAAAATTCGGTGCCGAGTCCACGAAAGAACCAGTGCACTTTATCAATGTCCTCGACGGGTCTGCCAATGGCATGAAGTTGGTCACAAATTTTTTTGAAGGCACAAGCATACTCAGCAACAGGTTTAGTGCCACGTTTCATCAACTGCAAGTCATCCTTGAGTCTCAATTCACGAGCTTTCGAATGATGGTTGAACGCAGTTTCCAACGCAAGCCAAACATCATGTGCAGTAGAGAGACCAACGACAACAGCCATGGCCTCCTCAATGAGAGAGGAGAGTAGGAGACAGAGAAGTCGTTGATCAGCTGCTCTCCATGCCAAATATTTGGGGTTGAGTGTTGAGGAGGTTTCTCGTTCAAAGTGAGCTGGTGGAACCATAGTTCCATCAACATAGCCCAGCATGTCTCGACTCTCATGTTGGCTTTTTCACCTTAATCTCAAATTAATTAATTGATGTTTTGATGATAACAAACATACCTTCAATTATTAACAATTTTCAGTATTTTTGTCCACAGTGTAAGGTTGGGAATAACGATTTCAATGTCTTTTTTGGTTCACTTAAATTAGAGATGAAACGAAGAAGTTCCAATTAAAACAAATACCCGACGTGATGAAGTGGTGGCAAAATTGACATTATGACCAATCAAATTCAAAACAAGATACTTAGACGTGATGATATGGTGACAAAATTGATGATGTGGTGACAAAATTGACATCATGGACTAGCGGCAAAGTTGACATCATAGACCAATCGAAGTATGACATTTTTAACTTTGTTAGAGTAACAAATCATTTACATTTATAAAAGTTTTCGATTACTTTTAAATGGTAAAAAATTATAATGATTTCATTTACGTTTTGAAAAAGAAAATTATTTGAATTACAAAATCATTTCAATTAAATTTATAATAATTTCAATGAGATTTATAAAACTTTTCAATTACTTTTAAAATGTTAACCAATTGTTTTTATTAACATTTTTTTTATTATATTATTATATTTCAATATTATATATATATATATATAATAAAAATGAATTTAAAATGTTTTTAATATTTATTTAAAATAATATATATATATATATAAATTCTATAATATTTACAATAAATTTAAAAATAAATAATATTATTTTTCGTGGTCCACATTTCGGTTTGATCCATATCAATTCCTATTTGATCGCTATTTAAATTCATCACATCTTCATATTTTTCAGAAACATTTGTTTCCTTGATCTAAATTTTTTTTTAAAGCCTCCATTGTTGCTCTCTCCAAGGCTTTCAATTCTATTTCTTTTTTTTTATCTTATTTTGTAGAGAGATGTCTATTACTTTAGAGTGTTGTGGTGTGTTCCTATAAGATTTCAGACAATTGTACTAGTTTGGTCCTGAGTCGGGGAAAAGATTGAGTTTGCTCTTGAACTCGTAAAAAGGGTGGTGTACCGGTTTTGATCATGAGCCGTGAAAATGATTGAGTTTGCTCTTGCACTCGTAAAAAGAGCGGTATAGCGATTGGGCTTTGATCCGAGAAAAGAGTCTAGAAAGTTTTATTCAAATTCCCAAGAGGTGCTTGGGGAGTGGAGTAGGTCGAGTTTGACTGAACCACTATAAAAATAAGATGTTATATTTTTCAACCCTTTTCCTATTTAAATTCTAAATTGTAATTTTTATTGTTATTAGAAAAAAAAAATTAATAATTATATGGTTGAAACCCTACTGACCCCTCTAGGTTTGTCATATCGATCCAACAATTGATATTAGAGTAGGTTGCTCTTATAATTTTTTTTATAATCTTTATTTTTAGAGATTATGGCGAATCTACGTGTTAAAAACGATTTTTGTGAAGGACAATCAACCTCTAGACCTTCTTATTTTGATGCGACAAATTATACATATTGGAAAGCTAGAATGAAATTTGGAAAACTATTGAAGTAACTCAAGAGGGAACAAATCAAGTTAAAGAAACAAAAATTAGCATGTTAGCTCATAATAAAATGTATGCAAATGAATCTCTAAGTGATGAAAAAGTAGCAAATTTTTGCTTCTGGCTCATAGTGACAAAGAGGATGAAGAAGACGAGGTAATTCTTGAATCTCCTTCTTACGATGAATTATTTAAAGTTTTTGAGAAGATTCAACTTGATTTAGAAAAACTTGGTTCAAAGTATGTTATGCTTCAAAAGAAATATAAGGCTTCAATTATAAAAAATAAGTCTTTATTAAATGAAATTTCTGGCTTAAAAGAGAATAATGATAATGTTGTAAAATTTGATATACTCGGTGAAAAACATGTATTTGATTGTGATGAGAAAACTGCGTTAATTGATAAAATTAAATTTCTTGAGCATGATTGTTGTGAAAAAGATAAGTTAATTAATTAATCAAAGTAAAGGAATCAAATATTGTGCAAGAACTTGGTAAGGCTAAAGAGTCTATTCTAAAGTTAACTATAGGGGCTCAAAAGTTAGATAAAATAATTGGAGCAAGTCAGCCTAAAAGAAGATTAACTATAGGTGCTCAAAAGTTAGATAAAATTATTGATGAATGTTCTACACCTTCAAGTTCTAAAACAATATTTGTTAAAGTATCTTCCATTATGTCTAAGCCTAACACATACAAATTTGTATCTCAATATGATAAATCTAGATTTGTGCCTATATGGCATTATTGTGGTGTTGAATGTCATATTAGACCTAATTGCTTTAAATTGAAAAATTCTCAAAACATTACTTTCGGAAGAAAATCTTCTCAAAATATAAAAATTTAACAATGTTCTAAGAAATAATTTTTCTATTGAAAATAGAATACATAAACTTAGTCCAAGAAATAAATTCCTCCATGATGTTGCTTGTTTCTCGTGTGGTAAGTTTTTTAATATGAATGCAAGCATGATTCCTAAATTTGTGAAAACTAACTTGTTAGGACCCAAACAAGTATGGGTACCAAAAGGTCAATTTTGAATATCTTTATTAAGCCTTCAAGAAAAATAAGTGGTATTTGGACAGTGGTTGCTCAAGACACATGACGAATCTAAGTTTGTGAATCTTTCCAAGAAGGATGGCGGCTTAGTAACTTTTGGCGACGACAAAAAAGGTAAAATAATTGGTAAGAGTACTATAGGTAATGACTCTGGTACTCTCGTCGAAAATGTACTTTTAATTGATGGTTTAAAGCATGACTTACTTAGCATTTGTCAATTATGTGATAAAGGTTTTAAGAGTTATATTTGATAAAAATAATTGCATAATTGAAAATGTTAGTGATAAAGAGTGTTGTTTGTTAGAAATAGGGATAACAATATGTACATTATTGATTTAAATAGTTGCCCAACAAATGATAAATGTCTTTCGGCTTTGCATGATAATTCTTGGTTATGGCATAGAAGATTAGGACATGCTAGTATGCATTTGATTTCAAATATCTAAAAAAATTCATTAGTGAGAGGCCTTCCTGACTTTAAATTTGAAAATGATAAAATCTGTGATGCTTGTCAAATGGGTAAGCAAACCAAGTCCTCTTTCAAATCTAAAAAATGTGATTTCTACTACTAGACCTCTTCAACTATTAAGTTGATGATTTTTCAAACATAAAAATGATGTTTCGAAAAGATTTGCTAGTTTTGTAAACGAGTCCAAAATGAAAAAGGTTTTTTAATTACTAAAATTAGGAGTGACCATAGAGGGGAATTTGATAGCTTAGCATTTGAAAATTTTTGTGAAGATAATGGTTTTTATCATGATTTCTCTTCTCCATGAACTCCTCAACAAAATGGTGTACTTGAAAGAAAAAATCGTACTTTACAAGAATTTGCTAGATCAATGCTAAATGAATATGATTTACCTAACTATTTTTGGGCGGAAGCTATTAATACCGCATGTTATGTTTCAAATAGAGTTTTAATTAGACCTTGTTTAGATAAAACTCCTTATGAATTTTGGCATAATAAAATTTCAAATAGTGGGTATTTCAAAGTTTTTGGTTGCAAATGTTTTAATTTTAACAACAAAGAAAAGCTGGAAAAATTTGATTGTAAGACGAATATTGATATTTTTGTTGGTTATTCCTTTATAGAGTTTTTAATAAGAGAACTTTTATAGAGTTTTTAATAAGAGAATTTTAGTTATAGAAGAATCTATATATGTGGTATTTGATGAATCTTGTAATGATATTTATAATGAGTATATTTGTAGGGATGATTTAGAAAGAAATTTTGGAGATTTAACTATTTGTGACAAAGGAAAGGAAACTCTTTCAAGTAAAGAAGAAGTGAGCTTAAATGAAAAGAAGAAAAGTTTTTTATCAGTGCCAAAAGTATGGAGCCTCATCTCATCCCAAGAACTTGATTTAACACTACATATTCACATATTATGCAACATGCATTATCAACTACTTTTGACTTACAAGCGTGCATAAACTTACCCATGATAGCCAATCAAAATATCAATACTCGACAATACATATTCATACATTAAGCAACATGCATTATCCACTAATTTTGATTTACAAGCGTACATAAAATCATCCATGATAACCAACGTAAATTTAATATTCAACAATACATATGCCTCCATTTTATGGCCAAGCGTACCGGGAAGTGACGAGGGTTTGTCGTTCAATTATGGGCGACTCTTTGGGCTTATGATGTAAGCAGTCTATAGAATCCCATAATTGGGCTCTGATACCAATTGTAACAACCCAACTTATCATATAAGTAGCGGTCAAGGCCGTTACAAAAAATTATGTGATTTCTTTGAAGATGAATGAAAACCATGCAAAACGATCATTTATTAGAAATCAGGTGCGGGGTACCCCTTTAAAAAGTTAAAAAAAAATGCGGCGTAAAGATATTCAAAACAAAGTAGGAAATTAAAACCAAAAGGAAATCTGGTGTGATCGCCTAGTTTGGGCATCCACAACATAGTTTAAATTAATAACAAAAGTGCACAAACGTCTCTCCAACAAAATGAGACTATAAAAAACATAAAAATCCTTGAATCGACCCGTGACTGACTTTGACATCTTACTCGTCACCTCCGTGCACAGCTTCGCCTGAAATCATTTTAAAAATAGGGTGAGTATTAAAATACTTAGTAATGAACTTCTCTATTGGGGTCAAACATATAAATCGTCATGAGGCAATAAACCAAAACACACAGCAGGTGATTATTGCCACCAGAACATCAACGCCACCTTTACTCCTTAAAATGGTTATTCTTGGCTGGTTACCTGAAACACAGCGTGTAACCCTTACCTAGATAGTCATTTTCTACAATCACTCCAAAGGTGACTATTGGTGACTAGTTACCTGAAGCACACAACGTGTAACTATTACCACAAGCCCCTTAACCGTTGCTACCTACAAGTACAATATGCAGGCAATAAGCCCCGCCCGCATATGTTGTGTCATACCACTCGCATCGAACCCAATCACCAAATACCACTAACCACAACACACAACCTAGCCAGATTACACAAGATTACATACCCTAATAAGATTACACAACAGCACACAACCTAGCCAGATTACACACCCTAATAAGATTACACAACAGCACACAACCTAATCAAATTACACGACACACAACAATCAGATTTATCCAGCCTAATCAGATTACACAACCTAATCAGATTACACAACAGCAGACTACCTAATCGAAGTACAAATTACACGACACACAACAATCAGATTATCCAGCCTAATCAGATCTAGCCTAATCAGATTATACAGCAACACACAACCTAATCGAATTACTCGAATTACACGGCACACATTAATCAGAATACATAGCACATAGCCATAGGACAATTCTGTTTGACCTATTTTTCAAAAACAAAAGGTTTAGTTTCAACAAACGTGTCTCATACCTAAGAAGATGCTTTCTTAGCCTTTCCTAATCAACGACAGTGGAGTGAAACCATCAATAGATTATTTCAGAGTTTTTGAATGTGTGGGACATATCCATATTCCAAATGCCAAGAGAAGCAAACTTGAAGTAAAAGTGTAACATGTGTTTTATTTGGAGTCAGCAGCGAATCCAAAGACTACAGAATGTTTGATCAAACTACTAGTAAGTCGTAATGTAGCTTTCGAGGAAGATTGTGAATGGAATTGGAAAGTTTTTTAAGGTGAAACAAAATTGGACTGGAGAAATATAGAAATTGATAAGAACACATTCGAAGGATGAGAAATCAAAGAGGAAATGACTGAACCGGTTACTGAAACAATTGAACTATTTACTAAAAACAATTTTCCAATAACTATTGCACCAGATTTGACAATAAAGGAAGGGAGGTAAAATTCTTATTGTAAGCATTTATGTTGATGATCTTTTATTTACTGGAGACGATGAAGAATTATTGGAGAAGTTTAAACATTCAATGAAGAAAGAGTTTGATATGACTGACTTAGGTTAGATGAGATTTTTTCTTGGAATAGATGTAATACAAAGATTATATGGTATTTTTATATGTCAAAGAAAGTATGCTGCTGAAGTTTTAAATCGATTGGGTATAGAGAATTACAATTTTGTATGTAATCGCATTGTTCCAGGACAGAAAATTGGCAAAGATGAAAATAGTACAAAAGTAATGTAACTTTATATAAACAAATAGTGGAAAGTTTGATGTATCTCATAGCTACTCGTCCTGATTTCATGTTTGTTGTAAGTTTGATTAGTCGTTTTATGTCATGTCCAACACAACAACATTTTGCAGCAGGTAAAAGGGTTTTAAGGTACTTAAAAAGTACAGTAGATTATGATGTATTTTATAGAAAGGGAGGAGTTAGTAATTTAATTGGATTTACTGATAGTGACTATGTCGGAGGCATGAAAGATAGCAAGAGTACTTTAGGCTGTGTTTATGATGAGTGGAGGAGAGCAGTAGCTTGATATTCTCGTAAGCAGCCTATAGTCACCTGATCAATCACAGAAGCTGAGTTTGTTCCTGCTAGTGGCTGTGCATGCCAAGCTGTTTGGATGAGGAGGATACTCAAAGAGATTGGTCACTCTCAAATAGAAGGAACAAAGCTAATATGTGATAATACTTCAACTATTAAGCTATCCAAAAATCCAGTTATATTCCAAACACATAAAAGTAAGATTTCACTTTCTTAGAGATTTTACAAAAGAAGGAACTGTTAATTTATTATTTTGTAATACCCGAAATCAACTTGTTGATTTGTTGACAAAGCCTCTCAAAATTAAAAGCATTTTAGAAGTTGTGTGAAGAACTTAGTGGGCAAAGAGGAGGAATTGTTAAAAGAATTTGATTAGGTCAAAACAGTGAGAGTATTTTTAAGTATTTAGGTTTAATATTTTCCAACATTTTTGTAGAAGATTTGTTTTTTTTTGTATTTGAGGTAAGTTTCCGAGTATTTGTAAAGCTATTCTTCAATAATATCGTCACTCCAAACTTCAATAGTTTATGTTTCTGGTTAGTTATTCTCAAAATCTAACCACTTGAACACGTTAAGGTTGGTAAAAATAAATATTTAGGGTGAATTCTCAAAATCTAATATATTAAATTTGAAGCGAAAACTTTAAATTAAATATATTAAACTTTATCATAAAACATAAACTTTATCTTAAAACACTGGCATAGAATTACTTGTTCGAAAATATTTTTAAAACGACATAACGAAATACTAAATGAAATAAATAAACATTAAAAGTAAACAATCTATTCTAACCTAAGTCTAATAAAATAAATATAGTTACTATATGCATGTGTCATGGTCTCAAGATGCAATGTCATAGTCGGCACGAATGCCTTGTTTTTATCTGGCTTGAGTATTAAAAAAAAAATACATAGTAAGCAACCACCCTATCGAAGTTAAGTGCAAACACATAAAAATTCATGAGTGGAACTCATCATATCAGTTTATTTTCCTGCCGCGGCTTTTTTAACAGACAACTTAGATGTGTACTTAATTCTCCTACACACGGTCCACACGTGCGAGGACCCACTAGTCGATTCACACACCTCCTAGCCCACTTTCTGGTTGGGCGAGCATTCTTTGGTAAACATAGTGATTGTTATCATGACTCGTAGCGTACGCGTCCGTACTATCGTGAAGGAATAGGGGTACCCCCAATCCATGAACACACAATAATACATGAGGCCCAAACATTTTTCCATTTTTATTATCATTTAATACCACGGGCTTATTAGAGTAACAATATTTTTTTTTTTTACCAAAACACAATTAGTACATTTATTACCTCATTTATGAATAGGAACCATTAATATTTACTTACACACAAAATTAACCTAACCCCTCTAATTTTTTCTTACCCATATTAAAGACGTACATGTCTTTAATAACATAGGTAGAAATTTAAAATAAAACATTTTCAAATGGAGCTACGGACTTAATTGATTAATTTAAAAGAAGAAAATAAAAATAACATATTATTTGAGTGTCATTTGAGTGTCAAAATGAAAAGCCACCTATCAAAACAATGCATACTATTTATCTAAAATCACTATCATCATCCTAACATACTCTTAAAAATATACTTAGTAAGTAACATATTTGTAGACTCTCATCGCTTCCTTCTTCTACTAGGTTCCCACAGCTTTCTTTGGTCTATACGAAGTTTCAATTGATTCTATATTGATCATCTACCTGTGTAGTCCTTAGTCCTTCATCGAGACTAGTTTATGAGGTCACAGTGCCGGTCTTGACTCATTTCTAAAATCAATAGAAGTATTCATACTAAACTAGCTATGTGCGTATTCCCTAACTCTTTCAAGATCGGTTTATGAGGTTGTAGTGTCAACCTTGACTCATTTCTAAAAGGATCACCAAGGACTGTAAGTACGTAGAAGGTAAGCTTTCACGCCTTTACAACGTTCCTTGTCGTCAAATTTGAGAGTGAGTTTCGGATTGGATTGAATACTCACGAATCTGTGCATTATAGGGTCTTACACGAGGTAATACAACGTGGGAGGTGAAGAGGAAAGATAAACGATGAAGAATCGAAGAAAAAATGGCGAGCATCGATGTTAGAGACGATTTCAAGAAGAGAGAGAAATTTTGTCAGAAAAATTGCGTGAATTGGGTCAAGAAGACGAAAGTCCGTGGACTTTGGTTCGAATTCGAATCGGGTATCCAAACGCGTGCAACCCCCAAGCGCCTTGGCCCAAACTGCTATAGAACTTCAGCCCGAGAATGCGCGCCAATAGCCTGCTGACCATTGAATTCTCGAGGCCTAAATCGAACGTTTCGACCCAGTCCACACAGCCAGCCTAGGCAACCTGCAACAGTCGTGACCTACTACCCACAATTCACGACCCGCACACACGACCGACACCTCGACCTGAAGCTGTTTGCACATGTGTCGGTCTCCTTTTATGCCACATGGCACACCGGCAGCGAATAAGGCAAACTCGTGCTCAAATGCGTCCCACTAGTAGAGACATCGGGAGATCTGACACTTTGGTGACAGGTACACTACCTATTTTAAGTTCTTATGCTTTTGCTATATTTGATTTTGGTTGTGGGCACTCTTTTATATCTTCTCCTTTTGTTACACAAGCAGGATTCGAACTAGAACCCCCCCCCCCCCCCCCCC